TAGACATAGCCTTCGTCAAGAAGTAACAGTCTCATAATCAGAACATCGTAGTCCTCATCTATGTTACTGAAGCGCTATCGTCTATGGACTGAAGCTATGTTATGTTACACGAGATATAAAACATACTTCAAGGCCTTTCATTCATGATAAAGTGTACAGTTACATAGGTATTTGATTGCCGCTAGGGCACCTAAATACAACAATCTCCCACTTGCCCTAAGGCCAATCAAGCATTTCTCGAATGCCCATGGACCACGTATGACTCTCGTGTTTAGGCTTTCCCAAAGCCTTTGTCAACGGATCCGCGATATTGTCGTCTGTACCTATCTTGCAAATCTCAACGTCCCCACGTGCAACGACTTCTCGTATGATGTGATATCGTCTAACTGAAAGGTAACCACGGTTGGGAGGGCAGCGGAAATACAAAAATTAATCTCCCAAAAGTGATTACTAGCCCAAGAACACGTACTAAAACTATAGCTAGAGATAGAAACTTATACCTTCTCCGGTAAAGCGGTATGAACGAGAAGTCGAGCAAAAGGTGTTGAAGGAGCAAACGTAGCCGTTCAAGCATCCGGCCTCCAACTTTGACACACGAACAATCTCCGGAGTCTACTATAATCTTTATGCTAGTAAAGATTATAATAGTATATTAAATATAAAGATTTAAGAGGGATAATATTAATCTTGTATATTAAATAGTAGAAAATATATGAATAATATTTTAAAGAAAATATTATATCAATTTTCTACACCCAAAATAATAACTTTGGAACTTAAAATGTTTTTCCTCTTTCTCTCTCTACTTGGCCGAAAACGCCCTCTTCCAAAAGAGAAGAAAATGCCTTTTTATCAATTAAAAGGAATAAAGCATAAACCTTTTACATTTGCAAAATGCCAAAAGGACACTTATTGTGATGTATAGTGGGAGACAAAGTCCCACACTCAAACCATCATGCATAGTACGAAAAGTTTAGGGGAGAGGAATTTAATTCTTCTCCTCTCAAATGTTTAAAGTGTATTTTATTTGACATCAATAATTTTTATGATATAAAATAAAATACCAAAAACATTTTAAAACAAGTATATAAAATATACTTTAAAATAGTTTTTGTCAAAATAATTATTTTCATAATTAAAATGACACTCCAAAATAAAATGTACACAATATAATATATAATGTAGTATATATATATACTTATGTGTGTACACGGTAAAAGCAATTACACACACACACACACATATATATAATATAAACACACGTACGTACATATGTATACATATATATATATAGTTATATACATATGTGGGTGGCACGTACAATGTATACAAATATACATATATATCGTGTACAATATATATACACATATATATTATATAAAACATTTTACTTTACTATTTTACAATATACAAATTAAATATTATCCCTTCTTATAATCCTACTCTTTAAATTGTTCAAAATGTGTGACCCATATAGGCACTTATAAAACTAGCCACAGTATTGACTTTACACCAATACTGTAAGTAATAAGCGGTATCTAGCAACACATTATTACCCTCAAATTATAAGTTCAGACGTTTGCTCCGTCAAAACCTTTCTACGACTAAGACTTTGTATAACGTAGATCCTTTTGTCCCAATGTCTTAACTTAGTGCAAGGGATATAAAATATCCAACTTGTAGCCATTAAGTTATTTACTGATTAACAAGTCTGACTGATGAGAACAGATGTCTAAACTCATCTCAGCATGGCTATGCATTTCCTCAGTCATACTTATCAGTGGGCCCCTACAAGACATTATTCTGCTTGAGTAGCAGTGACAAATTCTTTGTACGTAATCTACGTCTTCGAATATGTGCAGCGGCATGCCCAATACAAAGTTTGTGTACCATCCTTATTTCATACGGCTTAGGACAATGAATCAAAGCATGCGGGTTCACACATTCGAAGAACGTAATACTTCAAGTCTGAGGATCATTATACCAATAGTCGCATTAAGGACACTTAGAGCATAGACTAAAAGTCTAGGCAATGCCCTTAAGGTGGGTCAGGTCTGGCATTCTATTATTAACGATAATATCTGCCCGAGAGTAGATGCGAACACTCCGTCATTGACCAAGAGACTAGGTCAAACATCTAACTCTCACTAGTCTCACGCGCACTAACGATATCCCACTCTCGTTAATGCTTCGACTATAGACCGTTCAGAATTATACTAAGTGACAAGACGTCAGTCTCAACATCAGAAGACTCATTCTGATAAACATCTTATAATATAATTCTAAGAATGCAATTAAGAGTTTACATTAGCATGAGATGTTTGTAAACTTAATGCATCTGCCTTTACAACAGCAGTTGGCCATAAGGGCACCAACTCCAACACTAACGATATGTTTGGTCTTTTGGTGAGACCGAGGTTCTTTCGCTTGTGCAATTGCCCCATTGTTGTCGCAAAACAACGGTATAGGGTTCTTGATGCTAGGAACCACTCCAAGCTCAGTAATAAAATTCTTGAGCCACACACCTTCCTTGGATGCCTCTGCTGCAGCCATGTACTCCGCTTCTGTAGTGGAATCAAACGTAGTATCTTGCTTGTAACTCTTCCAGGTAACAACTCCGCCATTCAAACAAAACACATACCCTGCCTGCGACTTGAAGTCGTCTCTATCAGTTTGGAAGCTGGCATCGGTATATCCGACAATACTAAGCTCTTCCTTTCCGCCATATACCAGGAAGGCATCCTTAGTCCTACGGAAGTACTTAAGGATGTTCTTGTAACGCCCCAAAACATACCCTAAAATTTTTAATGAATAAATATTCAATTAGTCAAATTTGTTTCGATTAAAATAAATAGTTATTGGGCTTTGGGCCGAAATGAAATGTGTTTTGATATCCAATACCTTAATCTGGATAAATCTCATAGAGATAAATCCAATATGTTGAGTATTTGTGTGGTCTTGATTGGGAACATGAGTACAGACCCAAATCAAGAATAAATAAAGAAATTAGTTATGTAGTGAACTTTAAAATGATTTACTGAAATAAATCATGATAATAATTAATATGAATTAAATATGAGAACCTTTTTGAATAAAAGTCAACTGAATCAATTTTGACTCTGTCAAAGTCAACCACCCAAAAATATGGTGTCTGAAAAAGTATACCAAATAAACATAAAAATTATATC